CTTTATTATTTCTTTCCTTCTGCTGACTTTAGGTTTCATTTGTTCTACTTTTTCTAAATTTTTTAGGTGATAGGTTAGGTTGTTTATTTGAGATGTTTCTTATTTTTTGAGGAAGGCTTATATCACTATGAACTTCCCTCTTAGGACTGTTTTTGTTGTATCCCTTAGATTTTATGTGGTTTTCTTTTCATTTTCATTTGTCTCAAGGTATTTTTTTTTAGTTTATTCTTTGATTTCATTGTTGACCCATTGGATTTTTAGGTACATTGTTCAGTCTCCATGCAATCATTTTTTTCTTGTTTCTCCTTCTGTGGTTGATTTTTTGTGGTTTTGTAACATTGTAATCAGAAATACTGTTTTAAATAATTTCTATATTCTTAAATTAGTTGAGGCTTTTTTGTGCCCCAGTATGTGATTTATCCTAGAGAGTGTTCCATGTGCACTTGAAAAGAATGCATATTCTAGGGTTTTTTGGATGTAATATCTTAAAAATATCAGTTAAGTCTAACTGTTCTATTATGTCATTTAGAGTCTCTGTTGCTTTATTGATTTTTCTGTCTGTAAGATCTTTCTATTGATGTTAGTGGGGTGTTGAAGTCCCCTACTGTTAACATATTCCCATCAACTTCTCCCTTTATATCTGTTAGTATTTGTTTTATGTATTTAGGTGGCCCTATATTGGGTGCATGTATGTTAACTAGTGTACTATCCTCTTCTTCTATTGATCCTTCAATCTTTATATATTGCCCTTCTTTATCTTTCTTATGACTTTTGTTTTAAAGTCTATTTTATCTGATATGAGTATTCCTCACCTGCTTTCTTGTCCTTTCCACTTGCATGAAATATCTTTTCTGTCCCTTCACTTTCAGTCTAAGTGTGTCCTTCACCCTAAAGTGTGTCCCTTATAGGCACCATATTGTAGACTCTTATTTTATTATCCAATCTACCACTCTGTGTCTTTTGATTGGAGTATTTAATCCTCAAACATTTAAGGTTTTTTGATAAATATGTAGTTATTACCATTTTAAAACTTGTTTTACAGTTGATTTTGTTTCTTTTCTTTGTTCCTTTCTTTTTGTTTTTCCTTTTGTGGTTTGATGATTTTCTTTTGTATTATGCTTAAATTTTCTTCTTTTGTTTTTTGTCACTCTACTGTATGCTTTTGATGTGTGGTTAAACTGTTTTTCAAGTATGTTAACCTATTACTATACTTAATGGCTTTAGACTGGTAGTCATATAGGCTCAAACACATACTTTAAAAAAAATAGCATTTTCTTACTCCACTCCCCCACATTTTGATTTTGATAACCTCTTTTGCATTCTCATGGTTATTTTTCTGCTGTTCATTGTAGTTATCACACTTCCAATTGTGATTTTTCTCTTTTCTGTAGATTCTTGTTTCTTTTCTATTTAGAGAAGATCTTTTAATATTTCTTTTAGGATAGGTTTAATATTACTGTAGTCTGTCAGTTTTTGTTTGTCTCAGAATTTCTCTCTCTCCTTTTATTCTAAATGATAATCTTGCTAGGTAGAGTATTCTTGGTTGCATGTTTTTCTCTTTCAGGACTTTGATTAAATCTTGCCACTCCCTTCTGGTCTGCAATGTTTCTGTAGAAACATTAGCTGATAGCCTTCTGGAGGTTCCTTTGTAACTAACTCTTTGTTTTTCTCTTGCTGCCTTTAGAATTGTGTCTTTACCTTTAACTTTTGCTATTTTAATTATAATATGTCTTGGTGTAGATTTGTTTGGATTCATCTTGTTTGGTGCCCTGTACTTGGATATCTGTTTCCTTCTTTAGGTTCAGGAAGTTTCCAGCCATAATTTCTTCAAATACATTTTTGATCCCATTTTCTCTTTCTTCTTCTTCTGGGACCCCTATTATGCATAGATTGGCACACTTCTTATTACCCCATAAGTCACTTATATTGCTTTCTTTTTTAAAAAAAAAATTTGTTTTTCTGCCTGCTGCCATGATTGGGTGATTTCCATTATTCTGCTTGCAGATCACTCATATGTTCTTCTGCATTATTCAGTCTGCTATTTATTGCCTTTAACTTGTCTTTCATCTCAGCAAGTGAGTTTTCTGATTTTAACTGGCTCCTCTTTATAGTTTTTAGGTCCTTTTTATAGAAATCTGCATTTCTATCAATAGTCTTTCTTAATTCATTTAGCATTTTCATTTTCTCCTTTTTGAACTGTTGATCTGGTAGACTGGAGCAGTCTATTTTATTGTTTGTTCTTTCAGGTAATTTCTCTTGTGATTTTAATTGAGAGTAGTTCTGCTTTTTCATTTTACTTATATTTTTCTGTCCCTATGAATTTAGGAGTAACAGCTGTCTACTGTGGTCTTGAAGGGATGATTTTATATGGGAGTGTCGCTGGAGCTGTCTACCAGGAAATGCACTCTGTGGTGTTACCTGTCACCAATTGTGTGAACTCCCAAAGTACACCATTGTTGGCACCATCCTTGGTCCTGGCTCAACCATGGGAATGCAGGAAGTCTGCCCAAGTGTCCCTCAGATGTTATTCTCACCTAAGCAGATCCCTTGAAGTCAGGCACCAGGATCCACCATAGTCATGTGTAGTAACACACCTGGATCTGCTCTGGGCTACAAGATCAATACAAATCCTAGCCCCAATTCTGCATTTGAGTACTGCTATTAACACCAGGCCTTCCCCAGCCACATATCAGTATTCTGCTTGGATATCCCATATGCATTGAGCTTACAAAGGCACCAGTGGCCTAAATTTGACAAAGCTTCCTGGTACAGGCTTCAGATTTCAGCCCCCTCCCTTTGTGAGTGCACATTAAAAATGGGGCTTTTATGGTAGACCCCGTCTTCACTGTACATACTTCCAGTTTCAGCCTGTACCCAGCCTGTACCATACTCCAGACCCTCAGGGATCTTCATGCAGCCAACCCCAGTCTTCTTCCCTGATCTGTCCTCTAAAGCTCAAGTTTCAGCACTCAGCCCCCACACGCACTAGCAAGCTTGTGTCTTGGGCCAAGGACTGCATCTAGGTAGCAGCGGTCCTCTTCATCCATCTCTCTCTCTGTTATGCCTGCCAGAAAGTGGCTGCTGCACTGTCCTCTGAGCTCCTGAAGCTCCCTTTCTGTCCAAGCTGATCTCCCTGATGGTAAAGGGCTTCCTGGGGTGAGGGAATGTTTCTTCCTTCACTGCTCCCTCCTAGAGGTGCAGGTCCATCCTAATTCTTTTTTTTTCCTTCCTACCTGATTTTTCTTATAGCTTTGTGTGTATAAAATCTTTTGCCAGAGTTCAGTAGGTATTCTGTGAGAACTGTTCATAAGTAGATATATTTTTGATGTAATTGTTGGAGGAGGTGAACTTCTCATCACTCTGTTCTGCCATCTTGAAACCCTTCCCAGGTATTTTTTTTTTAATTGCCAGTTTTGGTGATTAATTTATTAAAAAATTAAAACATCATGAGCAGATTGAAATGAAACTGGTCACCTCAAATGTTTCAATGACACAAACATACATACACACACACACACACACACACAAAACACACCACAACACCATAAGACAATGTCTCACAATAATTTCTTAGAAACATTTAAAATTCAAACTCCTTTTAATTTCTTAAACATTACACAGCTGTGTATGGCATTCTGAGAATATAGACTTCAAATATGTTATACTTCCTGAGACCAGGAATAAATTGCCAAGATATCATCAAATAAGTTCAGGTCACAATTGTTATTATTGCTGTAAATCAAAGCATATATTTAAGAGGGTTAAGTTTTCCTCATCAGAACTTTTAAGTCAGAGTAATTCATTTATAATATTTGTTATCTCTGAAGAGAAATACAGAGGAACATTGCATGTTTGAAGAACTGTTAAGACTTTCACCCTGTTCAAGAGCTGTTTTTGGAATTAATAAATAATCAGAGATTGAATATTTTTAAAGGAGTAAGAAGGGAAAAAAGGAAAAAGATACCACATTCAATGGGACATAGTGATGAAAAGGAAAAGGGACATCTTGCAAGAAATGATACAGAGGAGAACTAGAAAAGAGACAATTTTGTCCAAATGAATGGCAGATGATTCTTTAACATTGGATCCATTTTTGTGGAAAGAGAAGGCACCTAGAAAATGGGAACAAAATGCCCCATTGAGGAGAAAATTTTGGAATAATTAGTTTTAGTATTATAAACACCTTAAACTATCAACAGAAAATCAGAACAAAGTTCCTGGTATGTTATTAGACCCAACTGATCTACCAAAACAGAAGTTCCAATAGTAGTTCTCAAATTATGACATGGATTAGAATCCCCTGGGAAGTCTGGCTAAAACACAGATTCCTGGGCACGAAAGCTAGTCTGATTCAGCGGAGGTCTGGTATGGGATCCAGGCATCTGCATTTTTAACAAGCTTCCTAGTAAACTCCATATGTTCTCTGGCAGGACAAAACATGCTGAAAGGCAATAGAGCCAAACATCCAGGGCACTGCAGTTCCATGACAAGACTAGGATGGTGTCTCCCTAATGTGCAAATGTATCCTCCTCACGACTATCCATCTGGGTCCTTTATCTTTTGCTTCCTTGAAGGTCATTTTTAGAACAGCATCTTCTATCTTCTATCAACCAACCAGATTTTCATCTCTGTATTGTTAAACTCTAGTTTGCTCTGTAAAGGAAAAGAAGGGTGTGTGTGTGTGTGTGTGTGTGTGTGTGTGTGTGTGTGTGTAATTGGCAGAGTAAGGGCTGAATAACATAATAGTTCTGCTGGAAAATTTCCTTTCCAAACAGAACCAACCAAATGGAAATTTTTGGCTCTGGCATTGTTACTAGGACCCAGTAATCCCTATTGAATTGAAATCATGGTTTTACTAACCTTGCAGTAGTTTGTTTTTTTTCTTATAAAAAATTAAAAATTCTCACAATAACCAACCTTATTGTGTATGATGTATATTTTTATATACTACCAGCCCTTTGGGACATGGGCCCCTCTAAATGTCCTCAGGAAACATTCTACTTTGATTCCAGTTGTTCTCCTAAGTGTATTCTCAACACAGATTCTCTGACACAGATAGATCCTTTATCTTGTATCAGACAATGTAGTGAATTGCCCAGGACTCTGCGATCTTGATGAAGATGCATTTTGGACAATTAACTAGGATCAACTTCATTTAAATGCACGTTTTCAAGAGAAAAGACCTACAAGGCTTCCTTTTCATTGTACATTTATGCAACATAGATTTTCTTTGCAAATGGAATGCTGCACCAGTTCATTGAGAAGAGTTGGAATTTAGTCTGGAATTGAGGTATTAAACTCAGTCCTTAGACAGGGCAACTGGATTTTCAGATCCCATTTCCTCTCCTGTTCTGCTTGTAGGACTCCTTGCAGATAATCATTAGGAAATTTATCATTGTGATCCACTTTTAACCTGATGTTCCTACTGAGGGTTATCATTTCCCCATAATAAAGGTCTTCACACTGATCCCCTTTATCCTTTGATAAGCTGTGAGCATCAGGGCCTGCTGCTCCACCGGACGCCATGCTGTGGGCGGAGTTTCTATCTCAGCTCCCAGCATGAAAGTCTGGGCCCATCTATGTCATGTGAATTTGAACCTCTCTTGAAGTGACTTCTTTATAGTGTCATTTGATGGATTGGAATGTTCTGTAACTCATTTGAACTATTACAGAATCTTTGCTGAAAGGTCGCCACTGCTTTCTACAGTTTCCCAATCTGAATACAATCTTGGGGCTCATTAAAGATAAGGTTTTCCACTGGCTTTTTCCATACCAACCAGGTCCAATTAGCAAAGGGCTTCTTTTGCAGAGAAGTTTGTGTTTACTTTTAGAGAGAGAGAGAGAGAGGCAGGCGGGCAGACACCCAGAGACAGAGAGAGAGACAGAGAGAACACAAGTAAATTAAAGTTGGTTGCCCAATAGTGTACAAGCCCACCCAGTACTCAGCTGCGGCGCTGGTGCCAGATACAGTGCCATTTAATAGGCCTGAACGGGGGTGTCAGAATTGAAAAAGATGAATAGAATTTACTTTTAAATGTCTTTTTTGAATCAATATGTTCTTCCAGTATAGTCTTGGGAGTCAACTCTAAAGGACCTTGAATTTCACCATGCATTCCAAATTCAATAGGAAAATGACAACTCATTCCTTAAAGAAGTGAAGGCCATGCACGCTGAACATTCAGTCCACGTGGCACCAACAACATTCAAGTTGTTACCACTTCACAGTTTAAGTTCAGGCCTAAAACTGGCTGGCTTGCTTTCTGCTCCCTTCCTGATGAAACAAGAGTCCTTAATTTTCCAAACTTCAAAAGCTCAGCTGTAAACCTATAGGAGACCAACAAGAGGAAAAGAAAGTTTCCTTTAAAGACACCTTTGGTTGCTGCTGGTCAGGTCTTCTCTCTCACTCGAAACATTGACTATGGCTTTTGATACTTATTCTTGGGGAAAGTCCAAATGCAGCAAATGGTAGAAGTCACATTTTTTACCCTCTTGCCTGAGACTTCCTCTGATGTGGATGCGTTCTGACTGGTGTTGCCGTGGGTAACAAGGAGTTCAGCACCTGCCCCCACCCAACCCTGCCCTGTCTGCAGATGAAGTAAGTAAGCACACAGTGAGCTCTACTGAGTTAAGAATCGAAACCCTCTCATTTGGCTGGAATTCCTGAAAGGGTCTGGACCAAAGAGGCTGCACAGGAGCAGCTAAAACACAGGCTCATTGACATTAAAAATATTCTAAGAAGTACAGGTGTGTATTTGTGACAAGACACTTGGAAGAGGAGAAAGGTAAACTCTGGAACCGAAGCTTTGTCTCTGCAGAGACATTAAAAACACAACAAAAATCATATCTCTCTTGGGTCAATAAAGCTGGCTTGGAAACCAAAACCGTCCTTAGAAAGGAGGAGAAATACATTTGTATTTCTTTTGAGGAAAGGAGGGAGGTCTTTCTGGCGAAGTCTTTAGGTTCCATTCGGGACCAGGAAACTCAATCCTCAAGTTCAAAGCTGGTCTCGTCATAGAGTTCGGGGCGAGCTGACTTCCTGTGCCGGGAATATTTAGCATGCAGCAGGTCACCCATCTTATCCAGGGCTTCCAAAACCTGAAAATAGATAGACTCTTATCAGTTCTCCTTAAACCCCCAAGTGGCTCTGCTCTCTGGAGCCTCACACAGGACCACAGTCTTCTTTTGCCAGTTTATTTGATTTTAAAGAAAAGAAGAAAAATTCAAATCATTAAGCTGCGGTTCATAAGCCAACCCTAGAGGAGTGTCAGAGGCTAATGCATTTTATTTCCTATTCTTTAGTAGTGTATCTCCACATTACAGATGTTTAGTTTATTTTTGGGGTGTGAAGAGAGGAATAAAAGCATCCAATCCATGCTTACCCTTGAAGGCTTTATTTTAAAGTTTAATGACATATATAAACTTGTGGCAGAAAAAGATAAGTTTCAGATTACCTTTGAGTTGTGTCTTCATGACACAGCATAGACTTCTTGCCTGGGAGACAGCAGGAGTAAAGTGAAGCTAGAGCTGTCCTCGGTAAAGAAGCAGCTGTCATCCATGTTAGAAGAGGGACATTTCAAGTCATTTTGTGTTTGCAAAGTGGCTTCATTTCTGCCTTGCTCCAAGCAAGATCGCTGAGTGGACTTATCTAACGAGCAGTGTTTCTAGTTGTTCATGATCAGTTGCTACCTTAATGTCCTGACTGTATGGGGTCATTTTTCACATTCTCTTATACTTAACAGTAAGAAACCTGCTTAAATGTCTGCATTGATAAGAGTGCATGATCCCAAAAGTTTGGAAGTGCCTAGATGACATCTCTCTGCTCCTTCCAAATCAGGTATTCCATAGGAATTAACTCGTGAAGAGAATCACAGGTCTGATCTCCACAGAACTATGTACTCATGAGCACATCAGTGCTGTTTGGATCAGAAAAATAATACAAACCCATCCATGCTGCACATCCCCTCCTGGCATCTCTGGGAGTTTGCTCCTGGCTGTGTCCTTTTCTCCCCTTGCCCATAGCACCCCTCTCTTCACTCCCTCCCTCCCTTGATGTTTATACATGCTCATCTTTCCCCACTTGCAAGGGCTTCTTCAAAATCTATTTTTCCTGCCTTTACAAACTTTTTGAATGACTTGCCTATGATTTCTTATCACCAACTCATTACATTTAAAAGAAACAATTTGTTAAAACAGGTGCACTAGAAATATATACTCATCTTAGAGAATCTGGACACTAGAGAAAAGTGCAAAGCACAAAAGCAGCAAAGTTCGCCCATCATCTCAAAACCTAGAGTTAGCTCAGTTGTTGACATGCGAGCCAATCAACTGTTACTGTGTATAACACTGGTTTAATTCCTAAGAATATAATGGTTAAGCAGAAAGATATGGACGTGTGTGTGTGTGTCTGTGTGTGTGTCTGTGTGTGTAATTCAAGCTAAAAGTATCCTCGACCCTCTTCATTTCTTTTCTTCTTTGAATTCTTACTTCTGTCCCCACACTCCTCTAACACTGTCTTCTCTGAGGAACATCAAGTTCCTACTAATTGCTAATCCAATAGTTTCATCTTATCTCTTACCCGACACGAACAAACGTTCTGCTGTTTCGTGGGGACATTTGCTCCTCCCCTTCCTTGGAGCTTTTCCCTTTTTACTGTATGTAGCACTACACTAGCTCACAACTTTCCTGATTGCTCTGGCTCCATCTAAGTCTAGTTCCTCGTCTGTGGTCCTACATCCACCCTGGGATGGAGGCCCTCCACTGGAGTCTGACCTTGGCCCAATCAGTTATATTTGGACAACTACATCTTCTACCATTGTCTTTAATGGTCCCTCAGTTCCTCAAATTACAGCAGCTTCAGCCATGCATAGTCTCCTAAGCTCTAGAATTGGATTTTCTTTTTCCCAGGTGGCCCATAGACAGGTAATCCCAGCATGCCTACAACTAAGCCTCTTTTATTCCCCTAGTCTTGTTGATAATTTGCTCTTTTTTACCATAGACCTTATCTCATCTACATGCTTAGCTTTGCTGTTCTTCCATTCACTGGAGAGCCACAGATCTTGGATAATCCTTGATCCCTTGTCCCACAGGTGCCCCACATCCAAATATTTGCCACGTCTTGGCGGCTCTGTGCATTTATAATGTCTGTTCCTAGATCCATTTCTTTTGTTTCTATTGCCTTGACCTTGTCAGATTTTGTTTTGTTCAAATAACTCTATGTAGATGATAACTCATGATACCCTCCCATTCCTGAAGCTGTCTGTATTTATTTTCCAAGACCAATTTATTCTGTCTGCTATTGTCATTTCATGCTTGTTACAATATCTTCTCTTGGACTTTTTACCCCCAGGGTTTTGCATGTAGTGGACATCCAATAGTGTTTGCTAAACTGCACTGATGTTACGAGACAGTTTCAACAATACCAGACTGACTGACCTGGCTTGGTTCTCTGATATTACTCATTCACCCAGAGATTGAAATCAAAGGACAATGAAATGTGGTTTAAAAATCAATTACACCTCATGTAGGACTAGCTTATATGACAGAACCTTTGTTGTTGGTTTTCCAATATGTGGTTTATTTGGGTCATATTTTCTTATGATGGATGTGGTGGCCATGAGCAACGTCAGGATGCAGGCAGTTAATGCTGAAATAGCACATGAGATCAGCATCTGCATTTAAGAACAAGTGAAGAGCAGGACATTTGGCTACTGGCTCGGTCTTTACTATGAAACCAAAACAACAACTTGACTCAAATCTTCACTGAGGTGATTTTTTTCTGTCTGCTGAGTTGACCATGTTGCTGGGCATTGCTGGGATACCTTTGTTTTTTAGCAATGAGTTTTATTATTTATTATTTTAAAATGACAGTTTTCTTAAACCATGCAGGAGAAAGCCAGGGAAACCCAAGGGAGCTCAATAAATGAAAGAGCCCAGAACTGGAGACTAGTCCCACACGTTCTGGTGGGCTGTGGTGTACTCACTGTGTCTAACATCTCCTGGGTATGTGCTGCTGAAACACAAAACCGAGCCCGGCCTTCTGCGAGGGGAGTAGCTGGAAATCCAACAACCACCACACCAATTTTTCTCTTTAATAGATGTCTTGCAAAAGCCCTAAGGGGAAGGTTAAAAAGAATGTTAACTGAGGGGTGATAAAATTACCCTACAAATAAAGGAATATGGCTAATTGACTCTACTATTTTTATAGCAATAAGTAGATGATTGAATTAATGAAATTCTGTCAAACACGCCTGACAAGTGCAGGCTATCACTTGATGACGCTCATAACTGAGCATGTATATTAGGGGGCCTGGCACACTCAGTAGACAGTTATGTGCACAATCTTTGACACTGAGCAGAAAATGTTGATGCATGTGACCCTGATTTTAAAAGTCTGTGTATATGTAAACTCTTTCATCTGCAGGATCCCTAGAAATAAAACCATAACACAATGCAAATGCCAAAAGAAAGAATATCTATTAGTTGTAAACTTCTATGTTCTAAAAACTTAGTACCAATAATATAGTGTGGAAATTTCCAGAAGCCTCTATTTTGTGACTATAATTTCAGGACCAGGATCAGAGTGTCTGCAGGAGCCAACCCCAAGCCATGTTCTTACTCCAGAGACAAGGATTTTATTTTTCATCAAGCCAAAACTAGGAAATAGCAAAGGCCTCCTCATTTGTCACGTGTATGTTCAGGGATGGCTGGATTAAGGGGGAAAGGGGCAGGACGGAGGCAGAGAAAGAAACATGGGTACACAGGCCAGCCGGTAGATGCAGACTGTGACACGGGTCATATAACTCTAAATCTTTTGACTCAGAGCAAAACCTTTTAAAGCTATGATTCCTTCCCCTTAACTGCTTCCAGCCTCTTTTTATTCCCAAGCTAATTTCAGTATCAATATCAAGCTCTCAAACTCTCTAAATTTCTGGTGCCAAGATCCAATGTCAGATCCAGGCATGTTCCCCAAGTGAACCTTTACCCCTTTGTGCTCTGTCACTCTCCACAGGGATCCTAAATCCCAGAGACGCTCTACCTGCAGGTGTGCTAAACGTCTTGGGTCTGCTCTTAGCATTCAAAGGTTGCTGGTGTCTTATTTTAGGCTGGCAGTTGACAGAAGCACAGACACCTTCCAGTGGTAACTCAGAAGGAATCCTTGATGCAGATGTTGAGAGAAAGGCCACTGGGTCTTCCATTCCTCTCCCATTTAGCTGTCTGCCTTTGGGTTGCCTTGGGCAAAATGCAGGCTCTCAAATGAAGCTATGGAGATTCCAAGACCTACCAGACACACAGCCTCCCTAGCCCCTGCCTCAGGCAAGGCAAGACTCACCCTCTGATTTGGACTGGGGAGGTTACAAGAGATGGAGCTTTCTGACTGAGAAAGCTTGAAAACAGGCCATTCCTCCTCTTTCTTGATCACCCTACACAAGACTGCACAGAATGAGAGCTCATAATTGTCTGGGAAGCAAGTCAAGTGCTTTCATTGCTAGAGTAAAAATCACCTGGCCCATGATTGGACCAGTTTTTGGGACTCCTGAGAGACCATTTTCACCATCTGCACTTTTACCTTTGTAGCAGAGGAAGCGAGTTTTGCCAAGGAATGTAGAGCAAAATACATGACTGTTGGTTCATTAGGTTAATCTAAGGCCTCCCTGGAGCACTTCTGAATTAAAACTTACACTACCAAACCTAGACTTCTTCAGTTAAAGAATATGACTGCCCTGAACATTCTATAATAATGAGCCTCTGGGTTGGTACTCCCCAAAGCAAATTAGAGCCAGCCTAAGTGGAAAGAAACTAAACTATGTGAATAATAATAATAATAATAAACAACAACGATAATAATAATAAAAACATCAGTACTGCACTGCACACAGCATCACTGCATTGCATGCATCGCCATCCTCCAAGTGTATGATGAGGCTCGTGGATAGAAAATGTAAACTCTGTACCGAATAGTAAATCCAATACATTCTTGATTATTTAAGTGAATGTTTTATGGGTGAAATCACGTTATACTAAACTCCATAAAAGATTCCAGTGGTAGAGTTGAAACCGGACTTTGTTCAAAAGGATAACTGGTGAGAGATGATATTTTCATTTTGTGGTAGGTGGAGATGGGGAGAAATCACAGTTCTTTAATAAAATCCGAGGTTTTTGAATGAGCAAATGAAAAACGTGCTCACACACTGTCATACAATTAACTCCTGTTTCTGAAGCTTCTCTGCAGATAAACTTTCCACTGAAGAAGCATCATAGAAAAAAACAGGACCAGGCAGCAGGCCAGCTCTAGCCAGCAACTCTTGCCAACAACAGATGATATTACCTGATGTAACTCACCTGTTCTGTTTCCTGATGACCCAAACAATTTGATTTTTTCCCCATTGTAGTAAGTGATGCCTTTTGATTCACCAATAGTGACATCAAAGAGAGTTAAGCTCATACTCTGCACTGCTTTAATGAGATGTGTATTTTCCCCTGGGGACTAAAGCTTGAGAGATTGTGTTCTGTGCATTGAAAAGAACTCTGGTTCAGGAAGCAAATGGAACTGGCTTGAATTCTGGGCTCTAGTACCTACAGGGTGAGAGACCCTGAGAAAGTAGTTTGACTTTTATGTGCCGTGATGTCTTCATTTGTAAACTAAGACTAAGCATCCAGTTTTTGGTGAGTGATCACTGGGTTTAAGAGGCTTCCTTACCATATGATTAACTTTCAGCAATGTTAGCTCCTCCTTACAAACTACCTTAAATTGGAAGGCACTAGATGGTTTGTCACGTCACCCAGGGTCTAAAATAGCATAATTGGGGCATAACATAGCAGAATCTCTTCCTACTATTTTCTCTGATGTTCTGTTTTTATTAATGTCACCAAATATTGCAATAGTTGTTTTGAAAAGCCATGCAAGTATGATGACTCAACCTTGCACTCAGTTGAAACTAATAGTCATCATCATTGTAGCAGCAGTAGGAGTAGAAATAGTGACAATAAAAATGGGTACCACTGATTGAGTCCTCACAGTATGACAAGCACTATATTAAATGCTTTATATAATTATTAATACTATTAATAATAACAGCCAACACTGAGTAGCTCCTATATAAGAGGTGGCATGCCAAATGCTGATAGACCTCATCTAGTTTAATCTTTGAATGATCTTATGAGATAGGTGCTATTATATCCCATTTTCAGTACAAGAAAAGTAAGGCTTCAGAGGGTTGGATAATTTGTCCTAGACTGCCCAGAGGTCAAAATTCTTTTTCATTTCAAACAACTCATTATGCGCTGGAACATAACTTTTCCAGGAAACTCTCTCCCAGTCTCATTCTCATTTTTCACAGTAGCTTTGTCTAGTCAGGACCCATGGCAAAGAGAGGAGGAAGGGGATTCCCTCCCTTGTTCTGTTATCTTGCAGTTGAACTTTTGCTTTTCAATGCATTTGTTTTTATTCTTCATGGACTCTTCTCATTGGATGGGCTCATTGTCCCAGCCTGTTGAGATTCCATTCCCAGCTTCCATTATCAAAGTCAGAATTATTCAGCACACTCCCATCCAGTGTTGTGTACTTTACACTCTCAAAAATAAAACAGGTTTACTTTTGGCTTCTTCATTTGAGCTAATCATATAACATTAGGGACACATGGGCTAAATGTGACATCAGAATCCACCACTTCCCGAACCACTCTGAGTAAATGTGGGTTTCCTTTCCTGTCTTCCAAGATCGGATGGTAAAAGGTCTGGGTTATCCACCACTTTGAATCACCACTGTCACCCTTCCCTGTCATTAGCACAGAGCAATGTCCTGTGACATGTCTGTAGCACACTGTCTTCTTGGCCACTCCAGGCACTGAATTTTCAACCCAGATCCAGGAACAAGGGCTGAGTGGTGGGAACGCTGTGCTGCACTAGATAACTCATTCTTGTGTTTTAACTGCTTGTTATTCTGCTGGGGTGAAGGGGCACAAGAGCATGCTCTGAAGAGTCTTTTGGGAACAGTCTTACCCATCATGAGTTCTCAGCTAATACCTCCAGAACTTCTTTCCTCTACTACTTCTAATACTCTGCCGATCCATTTAGGCTATTAGAGAATCAAAAAGAAAGTTCCAACAATGGGGTTGTGTCAAAGGAGAGTCAGGACATCTAGAATCTGATAAACATACAATGAAAGTTACCTTCCACCATGCACTTTGTCAGACACATATTTTACACTGAGAAGGAGTTTTAATTAACTTCCTTTCAATAACAGAGTTAATTAGTCTCTAGCAGGTTGGAGAATGGCTCATGTATAAAATTATCTATGCCACACTGAGGAAAATCATTTTTTCTCTTTACACAGTTGTTATTGATGCTCAACTACAGAACTGCAATTTACAAATGAGGCCTCAGGTGGTAAGTGACACCCCACAGTTCAGGGCTTGAAAATGATGGGCCTCCGCACCTGGTTCCCTTCCCATAAGACCCATGCAAAGGCCTTGCTGATGGCAGATGGCTTCTGAAAAGCTGGACAAGTGACTTCTGAACTTGGCAACACTCTTAATGTGCATAAGCAATACCTATGCTGAAAGAGCCTCCTGGTGTCAAAAGCACCATCAGTCAGATGTCCTGGGGCTTAGATGTTCTCCTGAGGGTCCGTGGATACTCACGCTAATTTAGCAGGCATGTAAAGGAGCAGGGGGACCACTGGAGATTCCTCATGGCCGTAGATAATGAATCCCATTTCTTTCAGTCTCTGTCTGAAGTATCGTGTGTTTTTGGCAAGTTGCTGTACTCTCTGCAAGCCTGAAAGGAGACAGGCATGAAATCCATCAATTCCCATCTGGAAGAGGGAAGCAAAAGTCAGACTGTCTTGGCAAGTGTGCCTAAGTCTTTGTGTAGGCTGCTTTGTTAGCTGAGAGGGGGTCACAGCAGGGTGGGAAGTACCTCCTGGGGAGCAGGTGTGGGTGCTGATGGCCAGGACCCACCCTGAGCCTGGAAGACAGGATCCAGAGGAGATGGTGCTGCTAGGTACTGCTAACAACTAAAGTCAGAGTAGGCTGCAGGGCAGGAGGGGAGCAGGAAGGGTGTCTAACAAGAAGGAAGGAGATGAACTATCACTTACTAGATACCTATTGTGTATGGATTCTGTGCTAAGTAGTTTAGGAGAAGAAGGAAGTGTGACAAGAAGTAACAGAAACACACACACAGGCACACACACAGACACACTCTACCTCACACCAGTTGTTGGGTGAGGCTTTTCAGCTAAGCTGAGCCAGCCCATTAATTTGCCCCTCATTTAGGTCTCTAATCAAAGAACACTTCATCCAATCTGAATTTGAAAGGGTAGCACATCCCGGGACGAAGATGGATCCAGCAGAGACCAGGACTGTTTTGTGAGGCATTTGGCAGTGGTAAAGTAATAGAGAGAAGGAAAGAAGGGGACCTCTGCTTTCCTCAGCCAGAGAAAATGACAGTATTGGCCTCAAATAGAGATCAGGCAAGTACATGTGTCCATTTCAAGGTGCTTCAGCTCAAAAGCTTATATTCTGTCCTAAGGGTGTCTCCCAGTGGGGAGGTCACACACATGATGAGATGACATAGGGAACTGAAGAGTAGAAAGAGTTCAGGAGACGCCTGTCCACTCAGTTCTACCTCTAATAGGGAAGTGAGTAAAGTAGAGAAAGCTAAGGGGTGTTTGCTCAATAAGGAAAATTGACTAGGATTGGATATTTAAGTCCCCTAGAAACTAGTCCAAGGTTCACATTTGATGCAGGGTTGCTATGCAGCAGGAGTCTGCTAATACAGCTGACCTTCATTCTAATTGGTTGGGCATCCATTCAAAGTGACCAGCTCTTTCTCTACCAGTTATTCAATATTTTGAACATCACTCCTGGGTGTTTGAAACTCTTTAGATGAAAAATGGATAAAATTTTCAGTAAACATGTCAATCACAGTCTTCTAGTTTCTTCTTAGAGACATAGCCTCAGATTGTGCCTAGATGAAGTGTTGAGCAGTGGGTATCTCCTGCTCAGCATCCTTCCTCCAGGGCATCATGATATTCAGGTAGAGTTGGCCCCATTTTTCCTTTTTGATACAGGGGTAGGGTGTGACCCAGGCCTGGCCTATCCATCCCCCTGCTAATTGGTTCAATGAACCACAGGAATCCAGGAATACAACCTGTGCCTACCAGACACTTTCAGATCCACTGAAGAAGAGTAAAATCAATGTCATCTCCAAGATACATCTTTCTCACCATATGGAGAAAACCTGCTTGAGAATAATGTTGACTCAGAAGAAAGGCAAGACTCAACACAGGGAGAGTCCTGGTGGCATCATTGGAACTCTTGGGCCTAGCAGCTTGTTTATTGTACTTTTTCCGGAAAGCTGACCTCTCAACCATGCTGGCCACAGGCAGTGGATGGAGGACAAGCTTGACCCAAGGAAAGTATATCTGAGTGTTGGCTTGGGAACCATGAGTTGGTCTATCATAAGAAGTTTGCCAAAGATATATTAAGTATGAATTAAACCAGTAAGTTATCTTGCTGTTAGAGTGTCAATGTAAAAGAGTTAGAGAGAATCAACAATTGGAGGAAGACTAGAAATTGAGGATCATCAAGAGAAAAGCTAATTATCAGAATCTATGAGACAGAGGAAGCCACGGGTCAGTAGAAAATGTGGTAGCACATGAGGAAGAAAAGTGAGCAGTGCAAGGTTAGTCAGGAGCAACAGGAAGAGAAGAATAGAAACAGGGAAGAGTTTATACTCTAGTAACAGACAGGCATTAATCAAATAATCATACAGGTGAATGCAAAGTTGCAATTTAGATGAGTGCTGTAAGAATGTTATGTAGTGTCAGGAGAGACCATAGAGTTATGTGGTGTTAGATTGGACCAAGTCTGAGGAAGTCAGTAAATGATGACTGAGCTGAGATGTAAAGGATGGATGAGTGTTAACAAGACAGAGAACCAGAGAAGAGAATTCCTGGCACAGGAACGAGATGCAATAGTCCTGTGGCTTATAGAAAAATAGAATGGCTGAGAACCAGCAAGACGTGGTTGAGTATAGGGCAAGGCAAGACTGGAACAATGAGTAGACTGTCTAAAAATATTAGGAGTACAGGGATTGAGGGATCCAACACTGAATGGTTGGTAAGAAGTGGATGAGCTTAAAAGGGAGACAGACAGGAGCAATCAGGGAGGGAGAAGATAAGTCAGGAGTTGAAATTGGAGTTATCAGTATGGCAGTCATTGATAACCGTTTCTCTGCGGTCCCAGGATGGGACTTTGGTTTTAAAGAAACAGGTAGTTGCAACTATGGTTTACTTTAATTCATATGGGCATTTAGATTCCTACCCACCTCATTAAAAAAGATAAGCCCACTCCCCTAAAATTCCAGATTTGCAACATGAATACAAGTAAGGGATTTGGAAAAGTGTAGTACCATTTCCATAAATTTTGTTGCATAGACATATCCTCCTTTGTGTTTAAAAAAAGAACTGTTTTGTAACATGCTGCCATTTCCCTTGGAAACTGTATGCATACAGAGAACAACCTATTTGAAAAACAGAACCAAGAATGAAAAAGGGAAATATTTGTCATAACTTTCAAAACAATTTTACCCATACATTGAGACTGTGTTTTTAGGAAGATGAGAACATAAGGGGTAGGGGGACATTGTGGACCAGAGAAGGACAAAGAAGAAAGGCTGGAGTAAGACTTATTTTAAAGAAGGTGATTCAAATGAAGGCACAGATCTACACCCCATTCACCAAAATGTATTCTGTCCGGTTTGTCCCCTTGTGTGTTCAGCTCTTTTTATTGATCGTTGTTTGCACAATGAATAAATGACTTAATCAAACTGGGTCTGATGATTGCTACATGATCCCCGTCAAATACTAGAAGGATTTCCTGGCCTGGAAGTGCATGAATGACTTAAATTGCTTTTCCCAGTGGCATTATCTTTGCCCTTACCCATAATAACTCATCCATCACTGGGTTGCCCAGCTCCTTAATTGGCCCCCGTCTGTCCTTTCTGCCTTGATTAACCCAAAGTAACTGGATCACCAGCTGATGTCATCACTGTCCTACTTCTAGATCTTTTGGAGAGTTGACCAAACAGATCACAATATCAATCCCAGGGGCAGCTGACTCTTAAGAACTGAATGCTTTATTCTTGCCTCGTCTTTTCCATCTTTGAACCATTTAACACAGCATGGCTGAGAAACCATTATGACACACTTTGCTGTCACCATGTTTTCTCAGACAGGGTCACTATAAATGCCTTTGAGGTCCTTGGAGTTGGCCAAGATACAGCTCCTTTCAATTACTCGATTGTTCACTCTTTCAAACTGGAAACATTCTCCTATTCTTAGAGCGCCTGGGCAGAGAGAAGTTTGTACATATAGAATGCTACTCATTTAGACAAGATGTGGACGATTTTATTAATTATGTTGTGCTTTGAGATCCTTGTTTGAAGAGTCCTTTGTAAAAGTAGAAGGCATTTTTAGCACTTGTCGTTTTGTACCGTCATAGCCATAACAGGGTGGTGTGGAAACAGGGCATGGTGGTGACCGTCTCTCTCAGCACTCAAAGTTCCTAATCAGATCGTGTCTGCACCTTCTTCCACCTTTTACATAGAAGAGAGAGAAGGCCCTGCACAGATAAATAAGTGAATGAGTTGATTTTCTGTGCAGAGTTCTGCAGAGTTTATGAATTTTTTTGTTTCTTTTTTGTTTTTGTTTTGCTGTATTCTGGGTTCACTGGAAAAGAAATATGCCTTGGAGTTAAATGGACGAAGAGCCAACTCTACCTGGATAATTTAAGGCCTTAAAAGCTCAGTCTTACCTGTAAAATAGAGATAAATTAGCTTATCTCACAGAAAGATTGGGAGAAATGAAGGAGTTAATGCAGAAGAGCTTCAGAGGGTGCCTGGAATGCAGTAGGTACTTGAAAGTTTAGTTACACTTTTCCATTGGCTTAGTTCTCAGCAGCCTCAGTGGCAACTCAATCTTCTGGAGAGCTTGGCAAAATCCTCTGCCCAGATCACACCCCAGACATATTAAATCAGGATCTCAGGATGAGACTAGGCATGAGTTCTGTTTTTCACATGGTGCAGCCAAGGAGACTCAGGTGCCACCTGTTGCAGTTCCCCTGAAGGCCATGTATGGCCATGTTAGGTGCCTGATTGTGTCTTGGCTGAGTCATGCTCCTTCATTGAACATGGGAAGTAAATGATGGCTGTGTGTCCTAGCTTCTGGTTGGGCAAGATAATGTCCTAGCCTTGACTGAGTGCCCAGGATCTCCAATAGACCATCTGTGGGATGACTAGCTCCCCTGACAAGGGAGTTATTGACCTGAGACCAACCCCAATGTCAACATCGCCCCTCTCACCAATCAGGATAAGACCATGGATGGTCACATCTGGGCACATGACCTGGCTGCCCTTCTACCCCTTTGGATTTCTAGCTTTGCCAACTTGAGAGATGGACTAGGTTTATCCTTCTCTCCAATGCTGTTAAAACAAAAACAGCTGGATCAGGGGAAGGAAAACAAAATGCAAAATGTGCCACTACAAAGCTCTGAAGTCCCCTAATAAAAATAATCATCTGCAGCATTGTCAAAAATACACTGGGGCAACTCAATCTCCAGGGGTCAAAAGAAATTAAGGACATGGACAATCCCAGGATGACCTGTCCAAAGCTAAAGAAGGAAAACTTCTTCTCTGTTGAGCCATTCACATGCAGAAAAGGAGAAAGGCACTCCCTCCATGAGCCTGAGTGAAGGAGGCGGATTTGAGCAGCTTGT